TGAGTTGTCGGAAGTACAACGGCAGCGAGAATTGCTAAGTATGCATACTTTAACCTCATTTCACGATCACGCACCGTATTTTTGGCGAGCATCCGGACAACCGAAGAAACAGGTAGGTTGGTGAGTGTTCCAAAGAGCTCATACCAGTACGGCTTCTGCGCGACGGAGTTCTTGGTTCTCTTTTTTTTTTGGTTGATTTAGAAACTTTTTGCAGTTTAGACCGGTGACCATGGCAAACTCCCTAATTGAAAACCTAATAGGTTTTCCGGCGAACAAGAACCAAGATTCATGCTTCTTCATGACCTTGAGTTGTCTTGATAATAGGTATCTTCCAAACCGGCCTGAAAAACTTGGTTTATCCGCGATTTCCAACAATTTCCCAAATGGAGAACCCCTAACCTCTTCAATTTCAACGGCAGTAAGTGCGTTGAGGATTTGCCTAATCCCGTCGGCCTTGTGATACGGCGTAACCCTAACACCGGTGGGTTCTTCACCGACAGCGAAAATCCGTTCCGGAAGTCGACACGGAGCCCTCCTTCCGCCTTCGCTCTCCTCCATACGGGAATCTCTTTTGCTATAATATATTTTGGTGCCGGAATTGTTTCTCTGTTTAGGTTAGAAAAAGTAGAATTGAAATGCTCTGCTTTCTTCGTTAACTACGCGGAAAGTTCTGACACAGAAGATATGGTAAATCTACCATATCTATTACTTTCTCCCCCTCGAAATAGTTGTTGCTACCCGTTGGGTGAGATCAAGTGAGAGGATGCAACGAAAGGGTACATGCGTAAACCTACTTGACAAACAGTAACGGTTTTTTTGTGTTTTGGTATTCCGCAAATTTAGCATAAGCTCTTTGGTAGGAGAGCAAATTTCCCTAAAATAAAAGAATATATTCTTTTGATTTTAAGGTTTAACATTTCTCGTACGTAATAATAAAGTAAAAATCACATGTCCAATATGCTAATTTCTAGTTCATGAAGACTAATTCGATTTGTGATGGAGCCAAGGAGATTGGCAATGACCATAAAGACATTTACACATAGTTCGAACTAAGACCTAAGCGAATGTTGTGCATACGAGAACAAAAAGATTAATAGATTAAAATCAACATGCATATAATTTGTAATCCAAAGAAATGAAGACTTCTGACTCTTGTCCAAGAAAAAACAACCATCTCTATCCTCAAAATAAGACCATCCAAAAACAATCCATAAAAAACCCTTAAAACAATGAATTCAATGTACTTTTTCTGATAACCAAACATTGATCACTCACCCACGTTTTCGACTCAAAACTATAAAACCCAAAACCACTCAGCAAAACCCAACCTCAAGCGATCCCCCAAACACTTGATATGAACCGACAAAACATATGACACTAGTAGACTCGAGATGGATGCATCGAAACACTTATAGGCTACTAATACCTCGCCAAAGGAGCTTAAACATTGATGCATCTTAAGTCGAGGGAGCAGCCTCTTCGGTTTTCTTTAATTCACCAGCTTTCTCTGGCTCGCTTTCTTTCTTTTCCTCTTCTTCCACTTCAGGCTTCACCTTCTCCACAGATTTCTCCTCTGCTTTTGTTTCTTCCACAGTCAACTTCTCAAGGAGACCAGCGGTGTCAGAGGCATCTTTGCTCTCTTCTTTCTCCACTTCAGATTCAGCAACTTCATTGAACTTCTGCATAAAGGCTTTGCAGTCTGACAAAGAAAAATAAGATTTGATTACCCATGAAGCTTTACAAAAACCTTTTAGGTTCATGGCATTACCCAACGAAAACAGTAGATCAATACCTAGACTTATTAATCGTGACATATAAAAAATTAGTTGCAGCCTAAACACATTTGTTGCCTTTTTTTAATGAAATGTCTAGCATAATCTAGCAGCCATAGATCATGCATACTGTGTTGCTACCAAGTTTCAAGATACAATGATAAGAGAGTATAACACTATATGGAAACGAAAAACCAATCAATCAATTAATAGCTCCAAAATTTCCCTCTAATGAAAGCTTAAAGGTGGATCTTCCAAAAAACAAGACCCCATATAACAAAGCGAAGATCAAGATACACAATCTAGATACTGACCGTAAGCTCTACCAATTATGTACTGAGAATAGACAAGACAATGCAGCATGCATAAAGCGCAATGAAACAAGTAGTAATCAGCAAGTGGAGATCAGCATAAGAGATGGCATGTCAATCAACAGCTACATTCACAGATAGTGGAAATGGAATCACAATCGTGTAACAAGAGCTAATCTACATGAAAAGGGTACAATCCAAGATCATATACTCACTCTCAATAGAAGCAAATCGGATACAGAAAAGCTCATCCTTGAGTTCTCCATCGGCGAAATCACGAGCGTGCCACACACACGACTTTTCGTTTCCAACGTGTTCCTGAACAGACATGCCTTGCTTAACTGCAAAAAGATAAAAATATTTTAATTAGATAACCTAAATACGGATCTAAAAACAGCTTAAAGTAACCCTAATTTTTACCGAAATGATTAGCACAGATCTTCAAAGTCTTCGATTGCCTCATAACAAGACGAATCTTCCCAGTGCTCTTATGCTTCAAGAGCTTCACAGTCCCGCCACCTCTCTCCTTCCACTGATTCGCTTCCTTATCGAACCGATACAGCTTCGATTTCCTTCGATTCACAAACCAAAAACATTCAATCAAACCTAAAACCCTAGGAAATTCGATTAGATCTGGTTAACCTAATCTAGTCAAGGTTAAGTCAACGATAGACTTACAGATCGAGGACGGCGTCTTCGTCTTCCTCACCGGTAGTCACCGCAACCTCCTCAAGCCTAACGATCGGAGCGACCTGAGCTCCGGTGTCTTCGTCCTCGTTGGCTCCGGATTCTTCGACGTCTCTGTTCTCGTGCTCGGGTTCGTTGGTTGCCATTGAATCTGCGGATTGAGATTTCTTCTTCGTTGATTCAACTGTTCGCTACGGTGCGGCGTGTGAGAAAGATGGCGAGAGACTTTTGGGGTTTTGCAACATGGGAACCACATTTTTATAATTGGAGTTGTACCGCGTCGAAATGAAGCTAACAATGGGCCGAGCTCTTAGTATGTGGCCCATTTAAGGCTCAATTATTTAGTCTTTTCTCAAATGTACAATCTTATTAACAAAATTATGAATAAATTGTCTTTTTTTTTTTATAAATTTAAGATTTTTATATTGCAATTCTCTCAAATAGTCTTTTTAAATTTTTATCACAAAATAGTTTTCAAAAAACATAATTATCAAAATTGCATATTTTTATTTTAAAATTTGTAATACTTATTTTTTATTTTTTTAAATGTGAAACCTAAAATCCAAAACTCCACCATTTAACTTTAAACCTTAAATCTACATTAGTTAATCCAAAGGTATAAATGGATATATACCATTTAATAAAAATTTATTTTGGTCATTTTCTTTTTTAAGAATTATTTTTGTGAAAATAAACTAAAAAAATACTGTCAAAGAAATTTCTTTTTATTTTATATATAGACTATTAAATTTTTTTTAATCAAACCAGTTCAAACTTCTATACTTTTTCATTTTTTTATATTATTATTTACAATTTAATTTTTCACCTTCCTGCATATTATAAAGAATACATACTATCCGAAAAAATAATTTGTTTCGTGCATACATATATTTGGAAGTTGTGCGATTTAATAAGTGTCTCTCTCCTTTCTTTTGACCGAGAATAGGATCTTTAGTTTATATTTCTCAATTTATGTAGTTCTTCTTCTTCAGTTGAGAATAGGATCTGTAGTTTATTTCTTCAATTTTTTTTTTTACTTTGGAAGATCTGAACTTAGACCCATTATTAATCGTTGTTTCTAATTCCAAACATTACTGTCCGTGTAAGATTATGGCTACTTTATTCTACAAAACAAAACAAGTCCGTGCTAAAGCTGATGATAAACACACGCATGCCGAGGAAAAAAATAAGGATTAGACCCAAAAATTTATGTTCCACAAAAGTCAAATCTATCTAGAACCCCTCTGTGTTCTAGTCATCTCCATGTTTCTAACATCTTCGATTGTTTTTTTCTTCTGTTGGATCAACCTCTCGAGTATATTCCTATCTGCATCTGGAAGTTTACATGGTCGGTCCATAGACGGTGCAGCTCTGGATCTTTCAAGCAGGTCCTTCTCTTTTTGCTCTGCGAAGCAAAGCAATGAACCTTCACAGACCTCTTTAGCAGAATACGGCTTCACTGGTTTGAATTTCTGAAGCTTTGAGTACTCAGTGATGAGATGGAACATGTAGTCATACACACGGTCCATGCTAATGCTTTCCATGTAACCCTGTCCTCTTTTTCCTATTGCTTCAGCCTGTCAAAAGGGGAAACATCTTAAAGAAACGTGGTAATCTGATATAAATTGATGAGAAATTTGATATTCATACATCAGAAGGGTTGGCATTTCCCCAGTCCACAGCGAATTTAATGGACCGGCATAGATCAGTGGGAGAGACAGGCCAGTAGTTTTCCTTGGGAAGGAGTCCTCTGCTGAAGAAATCTTCATACTCTGGTGAGATTATAAGTGTCATGGAACCACATGACATGATGTACTTTAGAGAAACTGACCATGCATAACCCTCTGCGTATATCTTGTACCTTATGATACAAGTAATCCCAAACCACATTAGATTATTCTCATATCCTCCCTTTGATAGAAGTTAGGACTTACCGGTGATTACATTGGTTTGAGAGCTTAGACTGTTCAAACCCACCTTTTGCCTCTTCTGCCCAGTTCTGTATTCAAACACACACATCAGCATCACTGCCTCTAGACTAAACTATCTGACTGAAAAATAAGTAAACCTGGCGCATAATCTGTGCTCCCCATAACCTTGAATGGTTGCATTTCATCAACTCAATTCTTATAGGCGATACAACATCAGGATTGCCTTTCCAGTAAGCTCTAGGTTGCTTACTCCCCCAGCTACTTCTCTTAGACCCTTGCTTTATATCCCCAAATTCTACATCCCAAGGCCTTAGATTCGTCTCCGACCTTCCATCACAACACACAAAACTCAGACGAGAGTTTTAAGTAACAACAAAAAAAACATGTAAACCAAGAAAGAGAACTCTTACCATCCCCAGAACGACCAGTCAGGAAAAGGAATGTCTAGATGAGCTTCATTGGTGCAATATCGAAAAAGCGGAGCTGGGAAAGACTGATGAGGCTCAGACTCAGTCCTGTTGATAATGGGTTTGTCCATGCAATCAAACATCATGTCAACATCAGGAACCATGCCAGGATACTTATTGAGAAGTTGCAGAAAACCCCAAACAGTGAACATCATTCTACTCTGCACACAAGCGTAGTAGAGATCAACGTATAGCTTTCCAGATAGTATCACCACTCTAAAGGCAGCGTTCTCTTTTGCCTTCTCCACGTGCTCTTTAGTCACCCCTGTCTCTTTCCATGGCTCTAAGTCTCGTTGAATCCATCTGGCTTTTCACCAAATGACATCAATGGTTTGTCTACTCCAAATAAATAAAGTTTTAAACTTTCTGACTCTTTTAAAAAAAACCACAAACCTGAAAACGTCTGGACATTGTGGTTGTTGCTGGGTTTGACGATCCGACAAGGAATCCGACAGGAGACTCTTTGGTTCGAAGACGGGTTTGTAAGGACAAGAGAAGTAGGAACACTGGAGAATTCGGTAAGCCTGAGAGCGTCTCGATGCTTCGCTGAAAGTTTTGCGTGGGAAGATGTGCCACGGCGTTGGTTCCAAGTTATGTCCGGCGAGAGTTTTTGTCTGAGCAATAAAGTCGTCCACCTGTTCGACGAAATTACTCAATGAGAAACAAAAGGGTCTTAAAAATTCGCAACTAAACAATTATAAATTCAGCTTCAATCAGATCCATTAATCACGGAGAAAAACATTAGGAACAGCGATACCTTATAGAGAAGAAGAGCGGTGAAGGAGAAGAAGGAGAGAGCAAGAACGCATAGAAGGAGATAAGAAGGTGATCGTGGAGAGCTTTTCTGAGAGATGCGAAGACGAAGACCCATTTGTTTATCTTCTTCTTCTTCTGCAAAACTTTTCGTTTTCGATGAGCCTTAAGAAATTGTCTCTGTTTTTATCGAATATATACAGTTCCCCGCTCGATTCGGAGCTCTTAACTTCTTTTTTCCACTAGTACATCAGTTTGTTTCTATTTTAACTCTACAAGAATATATACCTTCCCAGAAATTATATTCACCCTAATATCTATTTGAGAAATGAATAGAAATAAAGGAAAATGTATTACATGCAACAGAGTTATAATTAGAAATATAGGAAATGATTAATGGTTATAATATATGTGAGTTTTGTTCCCATTTTTATTTATTTTTTTTATTTTTTTATTTTTTATTTTGCATAGAATCGAAAATGAATACACGTAAAACATGGTTTTTACAAAATTTAGAAAAAGTTATTTTATCAAAACATCTAAAATAAATAAATAATAAATAAATAAATATAATTAATCATGATATAAGTTTGTTTTTTTTGGTTGAATTTAATAGAAGTGTTATTTTGCTTTGTACATTTCTAAAAAATATAATTTAAAAAACTAAATATGTTATTATTCTATAAAAATGGAAAATAAGAAAATCAAATCAGTATACAAAAATTAAAAGATAAAAATAAAAATTAAACACGTAATCATTGACATTACATGATCATCATTTTGCGATTCCAAATCAGAAATGTCAGTAATGGCGAGAAATCCTTGTTGATAATTGCTCCTAATGTAAATTTAACTAATAGTTTTATCAACTTATCCTAATCTGAACTAAAGAAAAAATGTTTCGTCGACAAGTAGACATTTAAAAACATTTATCACATGAAAACACACACACGGCTCTCGAACAGACCAAAACTGTGTGACAAGTGATAAGCTTATGTACACCACTCTCTCTCAAACAAATCTCCAACACACACAAGACAATGGTGAAAGAAACAGAACTCATCTTCATCCCAGTCCCTTCAACAGGCCACATCCTCGTAAACATCGAATTCGCCAAGCGTCTCATCAACTTCGACAACCGAATCAACACCATCACAATCCTCCAACTACATTCCCCAACAAGCCCAAACGCAGCCGTTTTCGCCAAATCCCTCGTAGCTTCACATCCCCAGATCCGTCTCCACGACCTTCCCCTCCTCGACGATCCTCCACCGTTGGATCTCTTCCACAGAGCTCCAGAATCATACATAGTCCAGATCATCAAAAAAACCACTCCTCTGATAAAACAAGCAGTTTCAACCATCGTCGACGACTCTCGTCGGTCCGGTTCGGTTCGTGTAGCCGGTTTAGTTCTCGATTTCTTCTGTAACTCTTTGATTAAAGATGTAGGCAACGAGCTTAACCTCTCCTCTTACATATTCCTAACGTGTAACGCAAGATACTTGAGTATGATGAAGTATCTCCCGGGTCGACATCTAAAACTCGGGTCAAAGCTTAACTGGAGCTCCGGAGATGAGGAATTAACGATTCCTGGATTCGTTAACCCTATCCCGACGAAGTTTCTCCCGTCCGGTTTGTTTAACGAAGAAGCTTACGAGGCGTACGTCGACCTATCGCCGAGATTCGGAGACGCGAAGGGTATTTTGGTAAATTCGGTGAGGGAGATTGAGCCGTACACGTTTGGTTATTTCTCGGATCTGGAGGAGGATTATCCTCCGGTTTACCCGGTCGGACCGATTCTCAGCTTGGAGGATCGAGCGAGTCCTGACGAGGAGGAGGCAGCAGATAAAACTCGGATCTTGAGATGGCTTGAGGAGCAGCCGGAGTGTTCTGTTGTGTTTTTATGTTTTGGGAGTAGAGGGAGTGTTGATGAGGCGCAGGTTAAGGAGATTGCTCACGCGCTTGAAGTTGTCGGGTGTAGATTTCTTTGGTCGATTCGGACAGGTTCTGGGGAGAGGACTGATCCGACAGATGTGTTGCCGGAGGGGTTTATGGGACGTGTGGCGGGTAAGGGGTTGGTTTGTGGTTGGGCTCCGCAAGTGGAAGTGTTGGAACATAAGGCGGTTGGAGGGTTTGTGTCTCATTGTGGTTGGAACTCCACGCTTGAGAGTTTGTGGTTTGGTGTTCCTGTCGCCACGTGGCCTATGTATGCTGAGCAGCAGCTGAATGCGTTCACGTTGGTGGAGGAGTTGGGGTTGGCTGTGGATTTGCGGATGGATTATGTGTCTGGTCGTGGAGGTTTGGTGACTTGTGAGGAGATTGTAAGAGCTGTGAGGGATTTGATGGAAGGTGGGGAGGGGAAGAGGGTGAAGGTGAAGGAGATGTGTGATGCGGCGAGGAAGGCTGTGATGGATGGAGGATCGTCTTCTTTGGCTACGGCTCGGTTCATTGATGAATTGCTGCAGGATGGTTCAGACTAATGCAACATGCTTTGGTTTATTTATCTCTGATGTTTCACCAATTAAGAAACTCTGTGGCTTAAACGGTGTGGCAGTGTTCTAATATCATTCTGAAACTATAGAATCTGTTTATTAGTGTTTCCATACATTAGTAGTCACAACAGAATAAAACACAAAATCATTTGAGATGAATAGATCAGAAAGCTCAAATATATTAAGACTCTTTTAAGTCGAATGTATGGATTACTAATCATTAATCATGTACAATTTATGGTTGATACGTTAAGATAAGCTCTCCAAATTGAAAAATCGATAGAACCTTATGTTCTACCTAGTATAACAGAAAAATGTATTCAAAGTTGGAACTATATAGCTGCAGTCTACAGATCAAGAAGCCTCTCAAGTTTTTTCATCTCTGTTTTTTGTTTGTTTATCTCGTCTTCAGCCTCTGTAGAAGAGTTAGACTCCGGCTTCGAATCATGATTATGACATTTTGGCTCTGGCAAAGACCACTCCAGCAAATAAACCTGCAAAACCAAAATAAACATACACCAACTGGTATACACATCGATTCATTCCTACCTTAACTCACAAAGAAAAAGAGAGTATATAGTGCTCTGCTTCAGCAGAAGCGTTTTTACTTACCAAAAAGTATGCTGAACAAATTTGGGAGACTGAGAGGGACATTGAAGAGTACAAGACCAGATAATGATATCGGAACCTTGTTTAATGAACCCACCAGACTGGCCACATTATAGAAAGAACACCATACCGTTATAACCCAATTACAAAATATTTCCAAGGCAATGCTTCTTTCTGTAGTCGGAACGAATGATACCTGTATGTTGTGGGTCCGGTTTGATGCAAGAACCACATCGAAGTGAAGCTAATGGCCAAACCGAGGAAGCCGCTTGCTGTTGCGGCTACCCAAAACATTGCATCTTGTGTCACATCTCTGCCAAAGTGTAAAACACAACAAATGTAAGAATAAAAGAAATGACAAGATACTAAATTTCTGGACAAGTGTATTTTAATAGTACTTACGTGCTTATTACGTATCTCCATTCACCCAGTAAGATGATCAAGATGATGCCAAAAGGTAGAGACAAGAGATTATTCAGCAGCACCATTGACACCTCATTAAGGGTTCCAGATTTTGTGGACTGCTTTGCTTTGTCCATGACTCTACGCAGAGTAAGCTGTGACAAAGAGTTGAACAAGATCATCATTTTTGAGAGATGCAAAAAGATTCGTGATTCCAGTTACTGGTTTCAAAAGCGTGAACTTACTGAATAACTTGCAGTTAGAATACAGTTAGCAGTCTGCCATGTGTACCCTACCGCATTGAATGTAAGATCCGTGATGCCTCCGCTGATTGCAGAGATGATCTATATTGAAAACTCTTAGTTGGTATCACTTTGACATCAGACAAGGGTTGCTACAGATGTGCCATTAAACTTACCATCATGAACATTGCAGCCCAAACCTTGTTGTTCTGCCTCTTGCGGAACATGTATAACTCCCCTATCGCAGTAATAATATTCGTTGCATTCTTCAGAATAGTCACCATAGCAACGTTTATGTATTTCAAACTGGAAAAAGAAACGTAATGTTGCATAAGTCTCAAAACACTACAACAGATTCTTGAAAATGATCTTTTCACTAATGTTGAAATCGTACCTGTACATTCCTGAGATGAGCATACCAACAAAGATAACATTAACAGGCATCCACACTCTTATCAACTTCCAGTTAAATTTCTCAACAGAAACCACTCCAGAAAATTTTAGTAGAGCTACCACCAAACAGCTGATTAAGTTCTGATAACACCAAAGCATATATACTTTTGTCAAATAATCATAAATGCCAAGGAAATCAAGCTCATGAGTATAAGATGTCTTACTTGATACAACATCAAAGAGACTCCTGCGTTAAAATTATAGCTGGAGAGAACAATCTTATTCATGATTATCATGCTACAGGAAGAGACACAGTACGCTGCTCCAGAAACAAGAGGTCCTGAAAGCTTCACTGAACCGTGGTCACGTCTGTTACCTCCACCAGCAGGAAGATATCTCCGTCTCAATCTGAGAAACCTTCAGCAAGAAATCAAGAAAGTTTCATTCAATTTTTCCTTAACGAATCATTTAGCCTAAGCATATTATATATTACCTTTCACTAAAGCCATGAACAACGCTTTTACTAGCACTATCACTGAAACGATTCAGCTCTGATTCGTCATCTACATCGCAAACAATCGCTTCACGTTCCACCTCAGTCATATCTTCAAAGTCCCTGCAAGCTAATTGAGATCACGCTTTTTACGCAATACGTAAGAGAGTATAGAGACGTAGAAGTTGATGATTACCTCAAGAAGAATCGCAGATTCTTTTGTTGATTCGCGGAATCGTAATGATAATAAGAGTAAGGAAAGTGATTACACTTTTATCAGCTCGATAGTCGCGGGAAACACGGAGCGTAGATTCGATTCGAAACTGTACGATCCGTAGTGGGAATCAGATCTCCACCCGAAGAGGAAAAGTGGCGACGAAGGAGGTGAAGTGATCTTTTTAGGAAACACGCAAAGCGTAAGAGGCGAAGAGGAACGTGGGAGGAGCGAGAATACCGAGGTAGAGAGAGAGAGAGAGAGTAACCGTCCATGTTTAAGTCTCCAGCTTCAATCTTTTAATGAATATTTTAAGATCAGCCATGAAGGAGATGATATGTGTTTGAAAAACTTAGGCGTGAGGCTACGCCGGAATCCAAGGCGGGAAGATTGCCGGTGGCTGTGGGAGAGGGAGTGTTTTTAAATATGGGCTTGGGCTTTCTGATTTGAGCTTAATCATTTGGGCTTTATGTTGCATTACTTGTCAATACTACACGAAGCTGGTCAAATTCATTTGATCCTGCAATTGCCGATATGTATTTCATTTTGATCGATATAAGATTAACATACATTTCAACAAAAAGAAAAAAGATTAGCATACATACAGGAATATAAGTGGACCAGTGACATTAGCAAGTTGATATATGTTTATAACTATAGATGATTAGTGGGAGTTTCAACTTTTAGTAGACCAGCAAACGCATATATTTTATAACAAACTGAAACACGGTCTATAAGATGCAATCATTTACATATAAAAGATAGGGTAGAATTAGGTGAAACATCTGTATAAATTAACACACGCGCACGCATATGATATATTGTAGAGTTCAGATGTTGGTGGTACCATCCATTGAAGGTGCATATACATCTTTTAACATAGCACCCTACGTTATTATATAACCTTTTGGGTAAACTAATTTTTAGTTTACTTTTAGTAGATAAAATCATGTTTGCTGATATTTGAATATAGTTATTGCATATAAACATTCAGTGGTTTTTCACATATTTACTTTACTACTGCATAGACATCAACATAAAGTCACATATATACTATAAGCAAAAATAGATAGACAATGAACAACGAGGACAATGGATTTGGAAGAGAAGAAACTTATTAAGAAGTAGAGTTTGATCTGGTGAAGGAGGACGATGAGTTGATGAACTCTATGCACTCTTCTATAGCCTCTGATCTATGACTGTCATTGCTTATAGGCATGACCGACGGCTGAGATCTCCCTGAGGAGGAAGAAGAAGAAGAAACCTTGGACGGTGGAGATTTTCTTTTCTTTCTCATCACCACCAGACGCAAACCTTTTGCAAATTTACAGCCAAGATGCGTGATCAATCTTGCTGCTGTGGCTTCTGTTTTCCTTGGTAGCCTGAATCCGCAGCTCGTTGTGCATCCAGGGATCTTACTACTATTAGGTCCCTTGGTTGAGGCATCTATCTGAACCGGTGTAGTCTTTGTGCTGATTGGTTCTGTTCCAGTAGCTGACATAACAAGAGAGAGTTAGAGACAAGGAAACACATACATGGATACTGAGAGATATATAAGGGCATGAAGCTGACAAAATTGTGCTAATAGTTCAGGCAAAGATGAGAAAAGACATGATTAGATGTATTCTTAACATCATTACAATTAGGCCATGATTAAGCACTCGAGACATAAACAATTTGTAAAAGTGTAACTTTCTGGTCCTATAATACAAAAAACTGTAGTTAAAGTGGATCTACAGAGTTTATAAAGAGATATGGGCAAGAGCAAAAAAGAGAAGACTAGGTGTAGTTTAATTTTTTTCATTCTATCTTTACGGTCCACAGAGGGAATAAACCTTTGTTTAAGTGAAGAAAAAGGTTCTTTATTATGAAGCAACCATGTGGTATCATTATTCTTTGATATTCACTCATGTCTGCATCAAAACAATCTGAAAAGGTTATTTTTACTCCAGGAGTGGCATATTGAGACTAACGATGATACTATCAAGGAGAAACCAATCTTGAAGGAGGTTTCAAGAATTATGGGACCTAACAAATCTTGAAAAGGATGAGACTTTGGATAAGAGAATTCGAGAAAGGAATATCTATATGTATGCATGTAAGATGAAATAAGATTTGTAAAATGTCAGACTGTAAGTTTCAATGTTTGCTAAAATGTTAACCTAGATTTGAATACAATAAAGTGTTAAAAATACTTCTGAGTCCGACGACCATGAGAGCTTACACAAGTGTCCTGGTTGCGAAAGCATTGACCGTCATGGTTCAGTTTAAGAGAGAAATTCAATAGACGTAAGCGTCACGTCTTATTTAAATTGACGTAAGAATCACGTCTAATTAACAGAAAGATTTAAAACGTACACATTGGTATCAATCACCAAACAGGGATTGGATCCGGATGATAATTATGCATAAGTTTTTAACCAACCCACAAGTATTCTCCAGAGCTGCGAGACGTATGAAGGTCCATATCTGAGACAGAGCATACTACCACACCTAATCTGAGCGTGGTTCAAACAGTAAAATGAACAAATAAGAAATCCACATTAGAACATTAACCCTAAAAATCTAATAGCCTGATTCAAGAACTTGCAAGAAGCTGAAAGAAGATAAGATTGTAGAGATGTTTTAGAAACATTTACAAAGACACAGAAAGGGGTGGTTACACCTCTTCTGTTCTGTACTGTTCTTCAGACACATAAGAAAAACCATCATGAGAGCTTACACAAGTGCCTGGTTGCGAGAGAAACTCAATGGACGTAAGAGTCACGTCTGGTTCATTTATCTTTATGTTTTGTCTCTATTAGCTACTAAATATCTATCTTGTTTGGAATATAGATTGTGAGCCGAGCCACACAGTGGAATAAGATCTTTGGTTGATAAAATATGTGTTCTTGATTTGGTTCCTAAAGATTATATGTATTGTATAATTTTTGAGTGAAACCGCCACTCAATTTTCGATGAGATGCACTTACTCATGGACATTGACATTACATTCAGAGTCCATCAAGCTCACTTCTTTGAATTATAGTAAATGATTTACCGGCAAAGTTCTGTTTAGGCCTATAGTAGTAATAAGTAAGAGTCCTTAAGAACTTGGGTAATGCTTTGCATCTTCGTCTTTGGAAATATAGTAATAATATCAGTTGGTTCTCGCAGAGTGATGATTGATGAATGGCCACATTGTGTCTATTGCGTGCGAACTTGAATCTTGAAGGAAACTCTATCCTTAACTGTCTTGTTTATTGCAGGTGCCCTTGCGAGGTAACATTTTGTTCCTGATAACCGTTAATCTTGTTTTCTTAATGTAACGCATATTTTTGAAATACGATATGTAATATCCTGATCAGTTACTGTGGTAAAGTACTAAAGATACAAACCCGGACACTGAGCTCTCTCTTCTGAAGCATATAAGCCACACTTCTTTCCCGCGGATAGCTCACAGGCTAACACTTGTACGTATCAAAATTTTTGTTTATTTGCTCAATATACCACAAGAGTCTTGATTATCCTTTTTTTTTGTTTTTTTTTATCAAGCAGAGTCCTGATTATCTAATGTAGCTGAAAAGTCATATAGAATATGTATTGATTCTGCTTTTGAATGGAAGACTCTGCTTTTGAATGGTAGTCGGTGGCCAAATTTCTCCACCAAGAACTGTGGGATCCACATTAATATTTATATATTGACCATCGACGACTACGTAGATGATTGGTCTCCTTGGTAGATGATTGTGAGGCAACACAGGGGAAACTTCCACAACGGAAGAGTCAAGCGACGTAACTTTAACTCTTAATCATCGTTATGCTTTTATCCTCTATATATAATTTTAAGTTGTTTTTAGCTGAAAAAAACAAATCACACATATCAAGTTTCTTCTTCAATACCTTGTTCTGTTTCCAGATGGTGATACCGTGTTTCAATGTTTCCTCCTCTTTCTTATCTTGTCTCTTTGTCTCCAGCTTCTTTATCAACACTCTTGTATCTCTACCCTTTCCTCGTTCGGACCAGGTTGAGATCCTTATGGCGTTTAAGAACGAGTTTCCAGTTCTCAAATGCGACTTCAGAGTCTCAAAACAAAAGACAAAATCTTGGACCAGCAAAGACGTTGAGTCCTTTGATGGGGTTGTATTTGATGATGAGACCGGTGTAGTGACAAAACTAGACCTGAAAGATGCATGTCTCAGTGGAAGTCTCAGTGCTAATAGTAGTCTTTTCAGATTACACCACCTTATTGAGTAATCGGTTTCACAATCTTAACAATAAAGAACTTGAACACAAAGTTAACTCTCAAACAAGAAAACTCTTCTTATTAATCTCTGAGGAAAATAGCTCAAAACCTCAAACTCTCACAACTCAAAATCACACGTTATGATATCAACTCATGATATCTATATATATAACTTAAGTCATCCTAATCCTATTGAAACNTCAAAACCTCAAACTCTCACAACTCAAAATCACACGTTATGATATCAACTCATGATATCTATATATATAACTTAAGTCATCCTAATCCTATTGAAACTAGAAGATTTAGATAACTCCTAAATCTTCTCAATACTTATCTCATATTTAAATAAGATTAGGATAACTTCACGCTCAAGCTTTCTTCAAGTTTACTTCAACAGTCTCCCTCCTAAGCTTGAAGTCTCTGTCTTCAACATCATGAACTCCAATCAGTTCGCGCATCTCCTTAAACTTGGTTCGTGCAAGTGCCTTGGTCAGAATGTCTGCCTTTTGTTCACTGCCGGGTATGTGCTCAACCTCCAAAAGACCTTTCTCAACACATTCCCTTATAAAATGAAACCTGGTGTGTATATGTTTACTGCGACCATGAAACACCGGGTTCTTTGTAAGAGCAATTGCAGATCTGTTGTCTATCCTGATGACTGTCTTTGCAAACGTACCACCGATGACCTCCTTCAGCAAGTCTTGTAGCCAAATAGCTTGTCTTGCTGCTTCAGTACCAGCCATGAACTCAGCCTCACATGACGAGAGAGCCACTGTATCTTGTTTCTGAGAACACCATGTGATTGGACTGGTTCCAAAATAGAATATGTGACCCGTGGTGCTTCGTCCATCATCTTGATCCACATTATGACTACTATCACTGTAACCTATCAGCCTTGTTGCGCTCCCTCCGGTCTTCTCAAACGTCAGACCATACGAAGTAGTCCCCTTCAGATATCTTAAGCATTGCTTCATTGCAGTCCCATGTGATTCTTTTGGACTCTGCATATATCTGCTCAAAACACCTACACAATATGACAGGTCAGGTCTGGTATGGATCAAGTATCTGAAGCATCCGATGATCTTCCTATATCCTGTAGCATCAATGTCCTTTTCTTTCTCTGACTTCTCGAGCTTGAGGCCCGAGTCCATCGGTATGTGTACAGGATTACAGTCTTTCATGCCGGCTTCCTCCAATATCTTCAAGGCATAACGCTTCTGGTTCAATGTGATTCCACCATTATGCTGTAAGACTTCAATACCAAGGTAGTAACTCAACCTCCCGAGATCACTCATCTCAAACTTTGTGGACATCTCACACTTAAATTCTCTTATAATCTTCATACAAGCTCCTGTGACAAAAAGATCGTCCACATATACAGCAACCACAAGTAAACCTTCACTCGTCTCTCTTCTGTAAACTGAAGGCTCCTTCAGACACCTTGTAAAACCAAGTTCCACCAAGATCATGTTCAGCTTATCGTTCCATGCCCTCGGTGCCTGTTTTAACCCGTACAACGCCTTATGTAACTTGTAGACTTTATGCTCACTCCCTTTAACCTCAAAACCTTCTGGCTGCGTTACGTACACAGTTTCTTTCAGCTCTCCATGGAGAAAAGCTGTCTTAACGTCCAAATGATGTATTTCCCAACCCCTTGTCGCAGCAAGATTAATGAGAAAACGTATGGTTTCAATCCGGGCCACCGGCGCAAATACTTCCTCGTAATCTATCCCATAGCGTTGAACATATCCCTTCGCAACTAGCCGAGATTTATACTTGTTGATACTTCCATCAGCATTTCTTTTGAGCTTAAATACCCACTTCAAACCTATGGCTTTTGCACCATAAGGTAAATCAACAAGACTCCACGACTTGAGTCTAGTAATAGACTCAATCTCAGCTTCACACGCCTTTATCCACTCTCTATGCTCTTTAGCTTCCTCAAAGTTCCGTGGTTCTTCATTCAAGCACATAAGTAACAGTTCTCCTTCTTCTTCAGACAGTAGTACATAGTCGTCTAAGTACTTAGGCTTTGAAGTGACACGTTCAGACCTTCGTAGTACTAACGGTTCCTCATCTGTAGTCTCATCATTGTCATCTCCACTTTCTGTTTCATGATTATCTTCTAACAGATTTTCTTCACTTTCTGGTTTGACTTCTTTTGTCTCTGGCTCTGTTTCTTGTATCCCACGATTTCCAAACTCTTCAAGCTCAATCTTAAAGTCTCCTGCACTAGCTTGATCCTCTGTTCTCATACCCCAGTTCCAGCCTT